CCTCCCCCGCGCCACCGCCACACGGGCCGCGACCGTCGGGCTCCCCCAGCCCCGCCGGGGGGCCCGGGCCCGCGTCCCGCACCAGGGGCGACCCGCCGCAGCCGTTCAAGGACGGCTGACGCGCTCCGCTGGGCCACCGCTGCTGCTCGCCTTGCAGCCCTTCTCCGCGGCGACGCGTTGCCCCTGAACAGTCCCAGCTAGCGCCAGCTAATTGCGCTAAGCCTCAGGCGTGAGGGACGTGCTGCTCCCCGGTTGTGAGACCAGTCACAGAGGGAGACGAGGCTGTGCACGAAGCTGGTTGTCTGTTTGCAGCCCTGCTATCCCGCGAGGCAGACACGCTAACTCTGTGCCCTGCACCCCAAAGCCCCTTCCTGCCCTCCCACTCCCGTGCCTGGCTGCACCTTACTGCCTCTGCTGCACCCTCATTGATTGTGAACATGGGATCACTCACCCAAGGAGCCGCCGCAAACCTTGAGCTGATATCACAGAGCAACAGAGACGCAGGGTGGAAGGGACCCCCAGAGGTCACTAGTCCAACCCTGTCTTGCCCGAGGCAGAATCATCCCTATCCAAACCATCCCATACGCTCCATACTCAAAACTACATGAGGCTGCCCTCAACCCTGACACAGCACAGACCTGACACCCTAACCTGCCACAGGTAAAGCAGGACAACCTGGCAGCCAACATCCTGCTTCTACGAAATGTTGTCAATATACACTCGAAACAGGGTAGAGGGCCATGCCTTCCACTATAGAGGAAGCCAAACACCCACAACGTCCATACCAGCCTGACCACGTGGGAAAATCCCTTCCTGAACCCAAATATGACAATTGGCCTAACCCTGAGTGGAGGAGCAAGACCTTCTAGCCAGGAACCTCTGGGTTTGGTCCCCGCAGGAGCACTGACACCCCAGTCAAAGTCCTCAGCCTTGGCTGTAACCAGCACCCAGTGCCTCAGGGAAGGCTTAAAAATACCTTGGCATATAACAGGAAGCAAGGGGTGAGGGGGGCACAGGCAACCCGCAAGGGCCAGAAGCATAGGAAACACCCATAGCAGAACATGGGCATAGCTATGCCTAGATCATTCCCAACCGGTTCTTGAACACCTCCACTGATGGAGAATCCACGACTTCCCTAGGCACCTATTCCACGGCTGCACTGTCCCAACTGAAGAAGCTTTTCTGGATATTCAATCTAAACTTATTTTGCTGCAATTTCAAGTCCACATTCTCCTCTCTGCAGCAAGAGGAAAGGTGCTTTCCCTCTTCTTCATAGCAGCCCTTCAAATATTTGATGACTGCTATCATGTCCCCTCTAAAGTACCTTTTCCACATTCTGAACATGCCCAGCCTCTTCTGCTTCTCCTTGTGACTTGCCTTCTAAGCCCTTGACCACCTTTGTTGCCTGCCTCTGGACCCTCTCTAAGTTTTCCACATCATGTTCAGACGCTATTTTAAAAATACATTTCTGCAGCAATATCCAGTAAGCCATGTGGCCACAGTGCAGAAGACAGATGAACAGAACATTACAATGTGGCTGAATACTCAGGAGGTAGCTTTATAGCTGATCTGTTTTTCCTTTATTCTTGTTACTGCCCTAATGATCCCTCAGTATCTCATTTTAAACTTTCAAGACCCTGTTTATAGAGAATCCCCTTCTGATTTAAGTGCTGTTTCTCCAGGAATCTGCAGTTCAAAAGTCTACAAAGGCAGCATGATGTTGTCAGGTTTGACCTAGAAACCACTACACAAAGCCCAAGCAAAAGTCTCTGTTATGTAACTAATGCCCATCTGCAATGATAAGGAGGAGACAGTCTTAGATAAAGGAGGCTTGAAAACAAAAGCAGAATCAGAGGACTAGGGCAAAGAGCTGATTTAAATATTAAGATTCACACCCCTAGGTGGGGAGAAAGTATGCTAATGAAACATACATGTATGGAAATGAGATACATAGCTAAAACACAGGTATAGAGACATGCTCAGTAAAGAACTCCTTGCGTCACTCCCTTATAACCAATTAGCAAACAAGAATGCTTATGGAGGTCCAATACTCCTGTATAAAAGATGCTTAGAATTAAGGATCTGTGTGCTTGTTACGTGAAATTATTCCGCTTGCACCTTGTATTGCTAGCAATAAATCTTTATACTTTCACCCCTGGTATCTTTATTGGCTTTTGCATACCGGGCACGATCCCAGACTTGAGCTGGGGCTCAACAATGTCACAGTATAATTTCCCATTAGAGGCATAAGGCTATGAGCATAATTACTTCTAAAATAGTATTTAAGTACAAATGTTTAGATGACAGGATCTATTTAATTTTAATGGGAGTGAAGGAGAAGGGACACAAAATCCTTCTGCCCAAGAGCAGAAAATTAGACTTTTATGAGATGACATTAAACTGCCTCCCACTGAGTATTTTTGATCCAAGTACATCAGTGTCGCTGAATATTAAAACTATAACCCAGCACGACATCTCATGCTGCATTTAATTAAAATACTATTTTATGATGAAAGCATGTTAGAGATGATACATCAAATAAAGTATATTAAATATTGCCACACATTAAGACTGGAAATGGCTGATATGAAAAATAAGCAGTGCAAGCAGCAAGCTTGTAAAATTTACAGCAGAACAAAATACTCTTCAATGTCTTTTCTAAAGCATTAGGCAATACCACATATTCCTCAACCTATTTTTCAAATGCAAGATTGCACAGGTTAATAGAGACAGACCAGAGGCATAGCAAGCTTTTTCAGTGCCAGGGGGAAGGGTAAAGGAGAAATTATACTGACCACTGAAAGTGCAGGGGAGGAAGAGGAGGGAAAGGAATATCATCTGCCCAGGCTCTCCTCACTTGAATGGTAACTACTGCTACTACTACTGCTGCTGCTTTAACAGCACAGGCTGGGCTGTTCCCACAGAGATCAGCTGCAGTGCCAGAGGTCCCTCCTGGTACCCCATTCATAGCCCCAGCCAATGGGGCAGTGCTGACCTTCCCATGGCAAAGCCCCCCCCACCCAGGGGAAGGCGCATCATTCCATGTCCTGCCGGCTACATACACTGCTGGGCATGGCATCGGCAGCTGTGGAAAGGCTCCTGGGAAAAGGCAACTATGCAGGTGCCCCCTCATAGTTGGCATCAGGGGATAGTGCCTCTCTCACGCCACCCTAGTTGTGCTACTAACAGAACCTTTCCCTTTTAGAAAAATGCAAGGCCCATTTTTATTTAAACCAGGCTCCCTTCACATTGCTCTGCCTATGCAGGTTTAGATTTACACCCTCTTTTAGGTCCATTTACTTTGTCAGAGTGGTATAAAGTAGTGGTTCTCAACCTTTTTTTGTAGCAGGACCCATTTGTAACCATCAATGGCCAGTCCCAACCCAATAAATAATTTAAGTAGAAAGCAGCCCCCTCACCCTGCTTGTGCCCTCACTCCTGACCTGCAGCCCCCCACCCCTTCTCCCAGCCCTGCCAGAGGGGGCCCCCAGTTGCCCCATCCCGCCCAGGCCAGAGATTAGCAGCTGTGGCAGCTCCATCTTGTTCAAGCAGCAGTGAAATGAGTCTGGCCCCAGCATGGACTGGAGGGGAGGAGGAAAGGCCTGTGGCACCCCACCATCCTGGGCTGGGGCTCTGACACTGTGCCAGGAGGCTTGGCCACAGTCCCCCCCTGGACAGTGTCTCCTGGCTGCCCTTCTCCTCTGAGTTCAGGCACCAGCCCTGGTGCCACTGGCCTGGCCACAATTCCCCACTGCCCCCAAAAGGTACCCCCCCACTCATCCCCTTCCCTTACTGGAGGTGCAGATGCCTCTCCCCCTCCCGCCAAGTACCTGGCCACCTTCCCCCAGTGCTGGCAGGCACCCCCTCCCCCTCACACACCTCTGCCACACACACAGGGCACCATGGACAATCCCCAAGCCCTAGCCCTACAGCCCCCACCCCCTATAGATTTACCTGCATCCAGCTGCCCAGGCTGCATGCCAGCCACGTGCGTGTGCGCACTCAAATGAATGTGGTGTCATTCCTCATAGACATACCTCATAGGTATGGTACTTAGCTTGCACCAGCATAATCAAATGGATGAGTTTGTTTTACTATCATGAATAGACATTTTTCATAACTCAAACTATAAATGTTTACCTAGCAACTCCATCAGTTAAGCCCATCTAATTGGACTAGAGCAGGGCTGTTAAACATAAGACCCATGGGCAGAATCACACCCAATCTCAGGGGTTTCTAGTGGTCCAGAAGACCCATCTCTGGATCTGGCCTATAGAGCCATAAAGTCAGCAGCAGAATGAGCTATGGCAGTGTTAACCCCCACCGCTGTCAGAGGTGCTGTAGGGCCAGCACCCAGGGGATTAATGCCACTGCTTCTTGGCCCACTGCCAGAGGTGGGCTATCTGGTTCACAAGCAGCAGTCTGGATCCAGTCTGTGGGACCAAATGCGTTTGACATCCTTCAGTACCTTTGAGAAGCTGAGCCTTAATTTTGGTCTAATAGATATTGTTTAAATCCTCAAAACTACCATTCAGCTGTCACCTAACCCTGAAGGGGCCGCTTCGAGTGGAAAGGATGCTTCACCAGTATGCAGGGTGACAAGAGGAAGGGAAGCCCAGGTAAACATCAACGTCCTGGGAGTAGGGGGCCAGAACTGTCCTGGGAGTGGGAGGGAGGACCTCAAGGAGGCCTCAAGTGTCTCTACACTAATGCTCGTAGTATGGGGAGTAAGCAGGAGGAACTGTGCTTCCTGATTGCGAGTAAGAACCCAGACTTAGTAGGGCTCACAGAAACCTGGAACTGGGTGGCGGGCATTCAGAGATACACCCTATATAGAAGAGACAGGACAGAGAGGCAGAGTGTGGGGGGTTGTGCTCTATGTCAAAGAGCACCTCACATCATCAAGAATTAGCTTTGGGGTAGAGGAGGGTGGGGCAGAGACACTATGGTTCAAACTACAAGGGGGGTGTGGCGAAAGGGACCTTATGGTGGGTGTCTACTACAGATCACTCACCCAGGGGGAAGAGCTGGACCAGGACTTCTTCAGTTAGCTCCTGGAGGCGGTTAGGTCAAGGGATGTCATTGTCATGGGTGACCTAAACTACCCAGACATTTGCTGGGAGGAGCAGACAGCCAGGTCTGACCGCTCACATAGGTTCCTGGCTGTATTACAGGACCTTCACCTTATCCAGGAAGTGCACAGCCCCACTAGGGGTAACGCCTTGCTGGACCTGGTCCTGGCCACGGGGGATGACCTGGTGAGGAGACTGCAGGTCCTTGACCACCTGGGCAATAGTGATCATCACCTAATGGATTTCGCTACCCAATGCAGGGCGTCAAGGGCTTGCACCAAGGCTAAAGCCCTCGACTTCAGAAAGGCCAACTTCAATGAGCTTAGGAGACTAGTGGGGG